TCACCCCTCCTAACCCCCAAAGTCCTCCCCGCTCCTGTGGCCCCTGCAGACTGCACGCCACCCCCCAACATCCGGTGACACCATTCACGAGCCTCTCAAGACTGTCGCCAAACCTAGATATTGTCAGGAAATCCCATAACACCCCAGGACAAAGATCTCCTGAGCTTCCGGGGAGGAAAAAGTAACACATAAAATCAGCACCAAAATGCCACCGAACACAGCAGCTGTGGGAAGCTGGAAGTGGACGGTGTGATGGCCTCAGACTCCAAACACGGAGCATCTCCCATCTGGAATTCCAAACCGCTAAGCCACCAGCGCCAGGCAGAGACATCGGCAGACACGCACTGGCTCAAACACCTGCCCTATTCACCCACTCAGGAACCTAATACAGAAAGAAAAAGAAAAAGATGATTCCCCAAATAGTGGGAATAATACAGGAACAGTAAAGGCACGGGACCCAGAAAACACGGGCTCGAACCTGGGAGGGGGAGAAGCTGCCTCTGCATAGCCCAGCGGCCTAGGAGGGAGCAGGATGGCTCCAAAGGAGACGAAACAGGCTGCCCTCATCAGCCAGCAGCAAAGCCAGCGAGAGGGAGCGGCCGAGGTTTTGGGAAGAAATGTGTGACGATGCACTGAAAAGGAAGGGAACGAAGAAGCGAGGCAGGCCAGGCGGGGTGACGAGGCGGGCCAGGCGGGGTGGTTCACGCCTGTCATCCCAGCACTTTAGGAGGCGAGGTGGTCAGATCACCTGAGTGGGCATTCAAGGTCAGTCTGACCAACAAGAAGAAACCCCGTCTCTACTAAAAATACAAAATTAGCATATGGTGGCATATGCCTGTAGTCCCAGCTACTCAGGAGGCTGAGGCTGGAGAATCGCTTGAACCCGGGAGGTGCAGGTTGCAGTGAGCCGAGATGGTGCCACTGTACTCCAGCCTGGGCAACAACAGCGAACCTCTGCCCCCCTCAAAAAAAGAAAAAAAGAAGCAAGTCCATTATTAACTCCAGAAAATCAAAGGCGCCATAATAAACATCATAGATTCATAATATCACATTAATACCAAAAAAATCAGTCCACTGGACTTCAATAAATTAAAACTTTTGTTCTAAAAGCACTATTATTACAGAGTGGGGCACGGTGGCTTACACCTGTAACCCCAGCACTTGTGGGAGGCTGAGGCAGGTGGATCACAAAGTCAGGAGTTTGAGAACAGCCTGGACAACATGGTGAAACCCCATCTCTACCAGAAATACAAAATTAGCTGGGCGTGGTGGTGCATGCCTCTAATCCCAGCTACTTGGGGGGCAGGGCGGGGAGAAGCGCTTGAACCTGGGAGGCAGAGGTTGCAGTGAGCTGAGATCGCGCCACTGCACTCCAGCCTGGGCGACAGTGAGACTGTCTGAAAAAGAAAAAAACCACTATCACAAAACAAAAGGTCCACCAGACTGGAATGAAATATGTGCAAAATGGATTCCTGGCAAGGGACTTCTATCTAGAGTACACAGAGAACTTTTATAACTGGAGAAGACAAAACCCAAGTGAAATAAAGGGGGAAGATTCAAACACCCACCTCACTAAGAGAGATAAACAAGTGGCAAGAGAACACGCAAAGAGGCTCCACAACATGAATCGAGGAAATGCAAATTCGGGAATGCCCCAAACTAAAACCTAAGTGTCCATCAGCAGATGAGGGTCTGACATGCATACGGCAGGGCCCTGCAGGCGATGAGACGCAGTGAATTGCTAACACGGGCAGCAGGACGAGGCTCAGAATAACCACGCACTCCCGAGGAAGCTGAACGGAAAAAGAACGCACGCCGTATGGCTCCACTTCTGTAAAACTCCAGCCAATGCACGCTAAACTACAGTGACAGAAAGCGGATCAGCAGTTGCCTGGAGATGCGGAGGGAGGGCCCAAGGACTCTTGGGACAGGAGGGAGGGAGGGACAGACAAGTTCACTGTTGTGACCGTGGCCACAGCTTCACAGCGGTACACACATCAGAACTCACCACACTGGACACTCAGACACGCGCAGTTTATTACACTTCAATCACACCTCAGTTAAGCTGTGCAGTGATCATAGTATACTGTCTTGGCCATAAAAAGGATTTATATCACCAGATAACACCATACGTGTGTTTAAACAGAAATTGTGGTAATTATATTGGGTGGGGCAAGGGACAGCATAAAAAATCTAAGTCCAAATTCTTCCATAGTAAGAAACCATTCCATGATGTCTGCACTTTTGGAACAGAAGAGGAGGAGGAATGGCATACACCTGCCCTCTGAGACACACAGCCGAGGGAGCTGCCTCCACGTCGTGGGACCTGGGCGCATTAGGAGGGTGGGAAGGGGCCGGCTTGGTTTTGAACAAGGATGTGCCGCTTTCATAAAAACCCAACTCCCAGCCATCTGACCCGGCAATTCCAGTTTCAGTGCACGCCCACAAGAGAGGAAAACACGCTCGCAGCTGCCGGAAGGCGACAGCAACCCCAAGTAAATGAAATGGCCCACCCCATGCAACGGGTCATCGTTAAGCAGAAACAGGAATGAGGCCCCGACAGGGCTACAGCATGATGGACCCTAAGCACGTGCCCAGGGAAAAGGGTCAGACACAGAAGGTCACACCTTGTACAACTCCACGTGTATGAAACCTCCACAATGGGCCAGCCCAGAGACAGATGCAGACGCGTGGCTGCGAGGGGAAGGGAGCAAGGGGATGAGGGATGACCACTTAATCTGTAAGGGGTTTCTTTTTAGGGTGATAAAAACGTTTTGGAGTTAGATGGGGCAACGGCTACACACCGTAAATACGCTAACCCCAAAGAACTGCACACTCTAAGGGGGTGACCACATGGCATGTAAATGGTGTCAATAAAGCTGCTATCAGGAAAAAACCCTGACCCCCGGACCAAGGCTGGCATCTGGCTGGCCCTCTGCAGATGCACACGGGGGGCTCCAAGCTCCAGGAGGGGCCCTGGGAGAGACTCCAGAAGCCCATGGGTAGACGGACACTCCCTCCTCCCTCCCTCTCCCGGTGCTTCCCCTGCTCCTCCTCCCTGTGCCCACGGGAGGCTCAGCGGCTTCTTGCAGTCAACCAGCAAAGACTCTGCCAACAGGAAGTTCTGGAATCCCACCAGTTTCAGACACAGCCACCCCTCACTGTGGGCCACGCAGAGCCTGGAGTTCACCATGGGCAGACCCTCATGCGCAGACAGGGAAAGCACAAGGTCCTCCAGCACATCTCCCAGCGCGCGATTAATTACATGAGACAATGCCTCCTTCAGCCGGGTGCAGTGGCTCACGCCTATAATCCCAGCACTCTAGGAGGCTAAGATGGGAGGGTGACTTGAGCCCAGGAGCTCAAGACCAGCCCGGGCAATGCAGTGAGATGCTGTCTATACAAAATATTAAAATAAAAAAGTAGCTGGGTGTGGTGGTACATGCCTGTGGTCCCAGCTACTCAGGAGGCTGAGGCAGGAGGATCGCTTGAATCCAGGTTGGAGGCCACAGTGAGCCATGATCATGCTACTGCATTCCAGCCTAGACAAGAGAGCAAGACCCCGTCTCTAAAGAAAGAAAATGCCCCTTCCGCAGACACCCTCTGCTTCTGCCCTTCTCCAAACCCTGCAGACGTGGGCCACACCCTAGGAGCTCCAGGGGAGTCCCCAGAAGCCACAATAGAGTCTTGGCCTCCATGGCCCAAGGTGGTGCACCTCACACCCCACCCTCCAGGCTGAGTCTCTGGAGGCCTGGCAACCCCGCCCACCGCACCTCCTCCCCTCCTCCCCAGCCTGTCAACACAGCAGGGCTGAAGAAACAAGCTGCCCAGGAATCGCCAGATCTACAGCAAACACCCCAGAAGGTCTGCTCCATGGAATGGCATCTGGTGGGGGGGCCTCCATGAAGGGCCGCAGTCCCAGCGCAGGATGTCGTGAGCAAGCTGGAGAGAGCAGAGCCCAGGCAGGCAAAGCTGGGCTCCCGGGGTCCCAGCCCCAGAGCCTCAGCATCAGGGAGATGGAGCCTCTTCTGGGAGCTGGAATTGGCACAGAGCAACCCAGGGCCCCCCCACCCCACTGCCTGCTGACACAGCCAGGGCTTCTGTCAGTCAAGGGGGCCATCAGGCCAAGAATAAAAGTAAAAAGGAGAAAGGGCCAGGGCCAGTCATGCCTACGCTTCCCATCCGAGGGTCTCCAGACCCGCACACCACCTCCCAGATCAGCAGCCACTGGGAGGCGGCCAAGGGCGAGCACGGCCTGTCCTCTGTTACCAGAAAGGAGTCCAAGTGGTTTCTCCAGCAACTCAGGTTTCCGGAGTGTCGAGGGCCACTCTGCCGGCCACAGCCTGCTCTGGAAGCAGTGACTGAGCACAGGCCCAGCCGGTCCGGGGTCTCCAGGGTGGGCAGAGGAAACCTCGGCACCACCTTGCTAGATGAGGGGACTGTGGAGGCATGCACTCCGCCTGAGCCACACCTGTGGCACCACCACACAGGCCCTGACTTTGCAGGTTTCACAATGGATCCCTTGACACCGACGTCACATGAGCCATCACAGAAAATTTGCAGAACGTAGACAAAGCGTCAACAGCCTAACCTGGCGCATATGTTACACCAGGAAATCCACCTGCCCACGCCGCTGGGTGTCTTCCTCAGGGCCGCACCGCATGAGGGCTTGCCTTTCTCACTCTTTAATACCGGAACGAATCCCCACACCATCTAATCCCATCAGCCGAGCCCACAGACCCCGTGTCAGCTGTTCCAGTTTGCCGGGAATGCCTTTGAACATGGGTTTGCCTGCTCATCCTCACCCCAAGCTGCAAGGCCTTGGGGGACAGGCACCCTCCACCCACTTCCAGCAGGGTGTGCGCCCCTCGTGGGAGCTCCAAGGGTGACTGTCATTAAAATATTTTCCTATTTGACAGGCAAAACCTGATCCCAAATCAAAAAGGGAGTGGACACAGGACAGGGCCCCAGCTGTCTGAAGACACCAGGCGGGGTCTCACCGAGTTCTTTGGACCCCTGGCTCTCGCTGGCCAGCTCCCCCATCTTCACCAAGGCGTCAAAGTAGCCTTTGGCTGCATACGTTACACCTGGAAGAGAAGAGAAGGGAGCGGTTATTTCCCCTGTGGGGGACAGATGACAAGACCCCTAGCAAAAACATGGCAGTCATGGCACACACAGGCCAACCCCATCTCCTGCCCAGACAAGCCTGGAGAACACCCAACTTGCTGTGATTTCTGGGTTGGACAGAACCCATCTCTTGCTGATACACTCGTTTCACCCCAATCATGAGGGCTCCCTTGACTCTAAGAAGACAGTTACTGGTTCAGGTCCTGAGCTATTCAAGTCAAACTGCCGAGTGCTGATCCCTGTCACATGCTACCAGGCAGGGTAGGGGAGGGAGTGTCGGGCCAAGTTATTTCATGAGACAAAGAACCAACCCCAGGCAAGGAAGCTGCAGAGCTGGGCAGCAGGAAGCCGCTTCCCCACAGACCCCCAGGCTGAGGCTGCAATGGGGGCACTATTTCACACTGCTTCATGGTGTTAGACCAGGACTCTCGCTTGGGAGCAGGTCACACTGTTCAAAGGAGAGCAAACACATCTTGTCTTGTCGCTGCCAGAGGGGCCTCCCCTCATCTCAGAGGCAGAGTCTGATCTAATCAGAAGTGGGTGTGAAGGGTTCCAGCAGTTGAACTCCTCCCCAGCCACGGGGCGGGGGCAGGCTCCAGGAGAGCCTGGGTCTCCTCCTCAGGATCCAGGGATCGCCTAGCAAACCCCTCCACCTGACAAGGGGCCCCATCCGACCTCCAGGCTGCAGACAGGGCAAAGCAAGGCCCTGGAGAGCAGCGTAATTACAATTTCTAATCCGTTTTCTGCAGAACCCACTTGGGGCTTATCACTGGGCACTTTTATCAAATTTCATTTATATACTTTTCAATTAAGAGCGCACATGTGCTCTGTGGCAGAAGACCGTGTCCCCAGGGGAATAGAGGGCTGCTGTGGCCTGGGAGGGGTGGCTTCCGAAGAGGAAAGGAAAGCAAAGCGGCACAAGTGTGACTGAGCAGCTGGCTGCGGCTACGGTGCTGGTGCTGCCGGGACAGCCGCGCTCATTCGTTCGAGGCCATCGAGAAACAAAGGAGGAGGAAGGAAAGCTCCGAGTCTCTGCACTCAGCCCGCCGCCCTCATGAGGGGCGAAACGGGCAGAAAGGCCCGGAAGGAACCCGCGTCTCGGCAGCATCAAAGGGCTGACTGAAGTGGAAGGGCCTGCTCAGCCGGAGGAGGCAGGCGCAGGCACAGGCCCCGGCCCCGCCACAACCCACTCAAAGTGGCTTCCACACCACTTCCCTGCATGGGCGGCCAGGAACGAACCCTGACTCGGCCGCGTGAGGGCTACCACAGACTCGCCGTAGACCAGGCCGCCAAGTGTCCTGCAGATGAGTGGCTCAGGAAAAGGAAGCCAGTCTATAATGAGCAAGAGCAGCCCCATCTCCAGGGGTGGGACCTTCGGGACTCCGGATTCCCATCCATGATGCCCACGATTCAGGCCCGGCTGGGAAGAGATGGACAACTGGCCACATTCACCGGGATGGAAACGAGCTGGGCTCGGAGAATCTGCACACCGCCGGCCGTGGCCAGAGACCACGGGATCACCACGGTTGCAAGCCCCATGCACCCACCTCGAGCCAGGCCTCAGCCTTCCTGCTCTGATTCAGGAGCCTCTTCCCAGAATCAACATCTCATACCAGAGGCAAAGGCAGCTCTCCCTGGGACCCCCAGGAAGTTACCCAGCAAGTGGGGAGCACCGTAGGGAGCAAACCAGGTGCAACTGCCACCAGGAGGCCACGCCAGCTCTCGGAGCAGCCACAGGCTCTGCTGCCGACTTCCACTACCTTGACCAAGAGGCTCCTGGCTAGGGCCAGGGATCAGCGCCATAGCCAGGATATACACTGTCATTCAGACCCTGCAGGCCGGGCACGGTGGCTCACGCCTGTAATCCCAGCACTTTGGGAGGCTGAGGCGGGCGGATCACGAGGTCAGTAGATCGAGACCATCCTGGACAACACAGTGAATGAAACCGTCTCTACTAAAATGCAAAAAATTAGCCAGGCGCAGTGGCGCGTGCCTGTAATCCCAGCTACTTGGGAGGCTGAGGCAGGGGAATCGCTTGAACCCAGGAGGTGCAGGTTACAGTGAGCTGAGGTCGCGCCACTGCACTCTAGCCTGGCAAGAGAGTGAGGCTCCATCTCAAAAAAAAAAAAGACAAAAAGACCCTGCAGACTTCTGCAGGAGAAAGGACAGCTCCTTAAGACAATTTTGATGACCAGGCCCCTGTAGAGGAGAGGCAGGGTGGAGAGAAACAAGGCTGTTCCTGGGGCAGCCACAGGGGGGCCCCTGGAGGGTGGGGCCCAAGGGAGCTCCGTGTTCCCTTCATGCCCACAAGGAAACATGAAGCCCACCTCCGCTAGACATGGCAGGCAGGCACAACTGGCCCACCTGGAGAGCTGAGGAGGAGGGCAGTGCCAGGGACAGGCCTTCCGCTGTGTGCTCGGGTGGGGTGCTTTGTCCCCAGGTGACAACGAAGTAAAGGTGGTAGAAAAAGAATGAGGACTGACCAACTCTGGACCCCTCCTTGCTACCTCTAACCTGGCACCAAAACTGGACAACCAACTCCACCCACCCCGTGGGTGCCGAGACACCAGGAAGCTGCGGAGGAGCCGCAGACATGGGGCACGTCTTGGGAAACACGTCATCTCCTCCCTGCTAGCGGTGTGGATTCTGCTTATGAAGACACTGCAGTTGGAAGGACAGACACGGTTGAGGATACAGGGAGCCCGGGGTCACTGCCCAAGAACCACAAGTCCCCAACCGTGGCAGGACTCAGCCATGAGCACCTGCGGGCCCAACGGAGCAGGCCCGGAGGGGTTCTGGGGACAAGGAAGAAACTGCCCACTGGGACGGGAAGACCCAGGTGCACCCAAGGCCCTGCGGTTGAGTGCCTGGGTGGGGTGGGGACAGTGGGAAGTGTCTGAAGGAGACAGTAGGAAGAAAGGAACAGCCCTGGAGCCCCCAGCCCCCCACGCCCTCCGTCCTGGCTCTCCGTGGGCAGGAGCCACAGGGTGTTCACTCATCAGAGAGGTGATGCAGGTCCCAAAGCCAAAGCCGCTGCAGCTACCAAGAGCTTCATCCCAGCCCCAATCCCACAGTTTCCACACGATTCTGAGGGCCTGACATCTGCACCACTCCTGCCTCCAGACGCCACAGGACGAGAGCAGCCTGCACAGCCAGGGGCGTGCCACCACAGTGACAGCAGACAGTCCAGAGCGCAGGGCTACACCTTTGCTCAGAGAGCCTCTTTCAGGACATGTTTCTGGAACCAAAGACCTCCTTTCGCTCCTGACCAGGCGCCACAGGCTCTGCCCAAGTCCATCTGCCAACCCAGGAAGCAGCTCCCACCCCACGGGGCCAGGGAGCAGTTCTACCTGCCAGAGCCTTCTCATAGTTCTTCCCCATGGCGATGAAGTTCCGGAGGCTGGGGTTGAACTGCTCCATGATGGTCTGGAAGAAAGCAGAGAAGAGAAGAAACGGCATTACTGGCAAAGGTCACCCTAGTGACTCTGAAGGGTCCAAACACAGAGGAGAAAACCCAGAGCAGGCATTGCCTGCTGCGGGTCGAGACCACAGACGCTCAAGCTGGGCTTCCCAAGTTCAAGTCCCAGCCGTGCCCCTGACCAACCTGAGCCTCGGTCTTCACATCTCTACAATGGGGATAGGACGAGACCCTGCCGCAGAGGTGTTGGGACTGAAGGAGCGCCTCTGCATGGTGCAGCAGGCGGTACGCAACTGGCGCTCCAAAGCGCCGCTGCCGAGGTGCCACTCCGCTGACGCAGCTGAGTCAGCCCAGAAGGGCCCCCCACCAGCCACACACAATCGCTCAGCTACGCCGGCGCCCTCTCCCACTAAAATCCTACTCAACACATCAATTACCAGACACCAGCTCTGATTAGTACCATCACAGCCTGATCTGCAAATGCCACGCTATGAATAATCCAGAGGCTCTGGGTCTGTTTGCCCGACGGACGGGCATCTTGGTGCCAAGATCAGCAGTTCTTAGACTCAAGAAATTAGATTTTCACTGCGAAGGCCAAATAAATGTTTTAATTACATGGCATAAAAACAGGCGCACACAAATAACCGCCAAATGAGAATTCTACCAGCACAACACGCACTGACTGTCAATGGCCAACCCCCGCCAGCAAGGGCCGGGGAGCAGCTCCAACAAAAGCCCCGGCTCAGCCACCTCCTGTGTCTTCCGGTCGTTTGTTATGATGTGATCCTGATCTTTCCTGAGGATCACAGGAAGGGAAACCGCCCAGCCCGCTCACACACAAGCAGGAGGCTGTGGGGTCCCCACCTAGCCCAACCTGTGGGCGAGGGGGTGGGGAGGGAAGGGCAACTCCATCCTCCACCCCCTCCCAGCACCTGATCTCAGCCTCTGGAGCCACCAGGGTGGATAAAAAGGGCATTTAGGGACAAGAAAGCCACTCCCCACCATCGGATCTGGCTCCAGAAAACCCGCTATTTGATGTGTGCTCCAACCCCTGCCCTGAGAGATGGCCAGGGTGTGTGCTCCTGGGGAATGAGGCCCCGAGTCCTGCGTTACCACTAGGGCTCGAGCAGGCCGGGTGCACCTCAGTTCTGCGTCTGCTGGAACCTCAGGTGGTCATGTCACCCAGCCAGGTCCCAAGGCAGGTGTCCCTTCCTTCCTGGATGCAACAAAGGTGAGGGCACCTCTGCGTGCTGGATCAGAGCCCATGTGCACCAGGGTGGGGAATGCAGCAGTCATCCAGCCACACCAAGTTCTATTCTCACAGAGCCAGTATCTTGCAGAGAGGGCAGGACAAGGGGGCCAGGGCTTCCGCAGAAGTGAGACGAGCATGCTCAGCGAGACGTGGAGAGCAGGCAGGGAAGCACTTCACATGCCAGAGAGCAGCAGGCAGACCGAGGCAGGCCCACAAGTTCCTGGGAAAGCAGGACCTGGCACGGGGGTGGAAGGGGCCCAGGGGAGGCAGGAAGAGGAAGAGGAGAATGGGGCAGCCCGAGGCCAGGCTGCATGAAGCTACGGAGGAGAGCGATGGGCCAGCTACATTTAGAGATCCCTGGGTGGGTACAGTGGCTCACACCTATAATCCCAGCAATTTGGGAGTCAGACGTGGGAAGATCACTTAAGCCCAGGCATTCAAGACCAGCCCGGGCAACATGGCGAGACCCCATCTCTACGAACAATTTAAAAATTAGCTGGGTGTGGCGGTGCATGCCTGTAGTCCCAGCTATCCAAAAGGGTGAGGTGGGAGGATTGCTTGAGCCTGAAAGGTCAAGGCCGCAGTGAACTGTGCTTGTGCCACTGCACTCCAGCCTGGGTGAACAGAGCCCAACGCCATGTCTACAAAAGACAGAACAAAAGAGATCCCTCTGGCTGCTCAGGGAAGACCAGATTTTATCCAAGGGCTCTGGTGTATGCTGGGAGACCCATCAGAGGCTCTGCAATTCTCAGAGGACAGGCAGGTGCCACGCAGGCCTCTGTTCTAGGGACAGGGATGCTAGCAGAACAGGCTTAGCACTGAGCTAAGAAAGCCCTTAGCACTGAACCAGGAGCCTGGGCGCTTTCATTCCCAGGAGTGCCTCGGAGCGAGGGCAGCGGGACCACACAGGGAATGGGGTAAGACGGGTCCAGCGCCCAGGAGAACGTGAGCCACAGACGACACCCGAGTTACCAGCAGAGAGGTGAGCGCTGGGACCTGGAGCGCTCTTGGCAGCCTGGTTCAAACTGACCGCGCAGACCAGGATGGTGGCGAAGGCGGTCAGGGAATGCTGTCGGACGTGCGTTTACTGTAATGAAATCCAGCAGAAGTGGGACATCAGCCAAGTGAGGTGGCTGCAGCTGGGTCTGGTGCTCTGGTGAGTGTGCACTCTGTGTGCACCTGTGTGTGCACAGACACAGGCACGTGTGCATGTTTGCGTGTGCGTGCATTCACGTGTGTTCCTGTGTGCACGTACCTGTTTGTATGTGTGGCACTGTTGAGCTGCAGTATCAAACATGTTTCTCGCCCTATGTGACAAAGGTGTGAAAATGCTACCACAGAGGGTGGGCATGCCAGAGCAGACCCCTCGCTCACAAGGGCCCCATGTGCGTGGCTCCAGGACTGTGACCCCCCCACAGGCTCCTGGGCAGGACCCTGGGCGGAAGAGGAGGCTCAACCTGAGCCCTGTGAGCTCCACTAACACCCTGAGCGGCAGGAGAAACAGGCCAGGAGCCACCCAGTGCCAGCCAAGGCAGGTCAGCATGGCAGCCATGCCGACCAAGTGACGCATGGGGCAGCCTCGAGGTTTCGCTTCCTTAGTGCAGCAGCTGAGCTCACTTGGAAGGAATGAGGGAGGGAGCGGGCAGCGGACAGCCGCCAGGCCACCTGGGCATGGCCATGCCTCTGAATGCAAGAGAAGGGCGGCGCCCAAAGGCAATGGCAGCGGCACGGATTCCACTGAGCTGACATTCTAAGCGGGGACTCCCCTTCCAGGGCAGAAGGGCCAGTTCCTCCTTCTACATCTGCATACAGCGCCCAGCCCCTGGGCCAAAAGAGAGGCCTTCTGTGGAGCTCTGCCTCAGGCAGGTGTCACCCACCCTCCTCCAGGCTCCTCCCTGTCCCGGGAAACACAGGAGAAGCCCAATGGCCCATGAAGAGCCCAGCGCCTCTGGTCAGGCGTCTCTGAGCCCCGACCAAGTCCATTCCGTCATCCTAGAGCTATGCCAACCCTGCGGGCCCTTGTGGGGGCCCCAGCACGAGGAGAGCCCGCTGTGGGGCACACACTGCAATCCAGCCTCCACCTCCACCTCCGGCGCCGGTTCCCCTAACCAGGTCAAGGTCCTGGTCCGGGGGTCTGCAGCCAATGGGCTTTGCAGTGCTCAGGGGGTCCCCAGGTCGGGGCAGGGGAGCCAATGACGGGAAGCTCCAACTCCTCTGGAACGAATACCCACAGCAGCAGCAGCACCGGTGGAGAACTCTGTTTTCCGTCACACCAACATGACTTTTCAAGTCACTGAACAAGTGTCTCTTTTCGCAGGATGCCACCAGGAAGGACCTGAGCTCAGATGCTCAGACACCCAGATGCCCTGACAGTGCTGGGGGGCGGGGAGGTCTGGGGGCTGTAAAGGGGCTAGTATCAACACCAAAGGGCAGCAAACAGAAAAGCCCAGGCCAGGAAGGAGAAACTGCACAAGAAAATGACTTCCGGCCCTCAGGAGGGCCACCCTGCGCAGCGGGTCTGAAGTGAGTTTAAAGCCCAGCTGTCCACACGGAGGGCGTCCCTGGCCGCACTGTGCCGTCCTCACGACCACAATAAAACTCAAGGGCTCCTGGGTGGCCACAGGCACAGAAAGAGCTCCCGGGGGCCCATGCTGCGACCCCATCCCCACTGCCAAGACAGAAATCCTACACCATGAGCAGCCACCACACTGTCCTCAAACTTTAGCACCTGTACGGCGTGCATGGAGCTCTGCTGTGACCCAGTGACCATGCACTGGCTCCCTGGGCAGCGCACCTGGGCTGGCGCAGACTTCCACTGACTCATGTGTTCATTGACTATTCACCAGAGAACACTTTTCGCACCCCAGGTGGGTCCTGGGGTGCCTGCCCACAAGAGGCTCCCAGACATGCTGTGGAAGGCTTCCCTCCTAGAACAGAGGCCACAAAGGGCCAGGTGAGGAGAAGCCCCTGCCCAGGGATGCTGGCAGGCTTGGCTGCCCTCCTGCTGGGATGCACAGAGAAGGATGTCTCACAGACCCTGGATGGCATGGACCCCAGCTGTCCCTACTGCAGCCCCCAGGGACCCCAGCTATGCATTTCTGCAGGTACGAATGGGAGGGCCATGTCCCTCAGCTGTAGAGGTGGCCGTCAGAGAACGTCGATGAGCCCAGGGAGCCTTCTGGCTGGCGAGCTGCTGGACACTGCTGGCCAGCCCGGAGACTGATGGCCAGCATGATTTCGTGCCACGGGCCGGCCTGGCCAGCGCGGGCACAAGGCCACAGAACCGATGTAGTCACCACCTCCTCCCAACTTGGGGAACACAGGGAGGGTGGCCAACACATTTAGAGAAAAGAGCTTTGCCAAAGGACTTTGCTCTCCCACCCACTCCGGGCTGTGCTGAGGTCCACCTTCCACCCAACCGCTCAGGAATTCTGTTTACCCTCCGGCTCTCCCCACTGTGACGCCGCCTCTCCAGCACTTTCCTGGCAGGGTGGCCACAAACAAAAGCAGTTCCTCTGCTGACAGAAAGAGTGACCTCCCCCTTCCCTCCAGCCCCTCCAGGCAGATGCCAGGGTGGGCATGTCCGGCCAGACCCTGGGCCTGCGTGCGTCTGTACCCATGCACGCACATACAGCCGCATGTGCATGCGTGTTTACCTGTGTAAGTACACTCACACATGTGCTGGACACATGTGTCTGTGTGTGGTCAGGCTGAGCCATGTTTCCTATCCACTCAGAAGAACAAACTTAAAAGGTT